TCACCTTCAGTAGATATTTGATTAAGAATTATTTACAGAGTTTAAGAAGTGAAAAACCCAACTTCTTTTTAATTCATTCATGGGATGTGGGTGTCGCTGTCTAGACCAGCATTTATTGCCCATTGCTAATTGGCCAGAGGGCAGTTAAGAGTCAACCACTTTGGAGTCACATGTAGGCCAGATCAGGAAGGTTGGCAGATTTCCTTTCCAAAAGGACATTAGTGAACCAGATGGGTTTTTCCTGACAATTGGCAATGGTTTCATGGTCATCATTAAATTCTTAATTTCCACCATCTGCCATGGCAGGATTTGAACCCAGGTCCCCAGAACATTACCCAAGTGTCCAGATTAAGAGTTGAGCAATAATCCCATTAGGCCATCACCTACTGGGAGATGGTAGAAGTGACTTTTATAATTGAAGAATCAAGAACTTGTATTGCTATAGAATCCCTTGCGTGGAAAGACATCTCAAAGTTTTCCATTACAAGGTTACAAACCCAGCCGCATTTTTGGAAATTCATCATTCAAATCACAACAGATTGGCCTTTTGAAGGAAAAACATTGAGTCCAATGATGAATAGAAGAAAAACTTGTATTTATATTGCACCTTTCAAGGTGTCAGAATGCTTCAAATTTCTCTGGAGCCAATAAAGTACTCCTGAAGCATGGTCATTGTCGTAACGAAGGAAACGCAGCAGCCAATCCGTAAGCAGCAAACTCTCACAAACAGCAATGATATGATCACATAAAATTATTTTTGTGATTTTGACTGAGGGAGAAATATTGGTCAGGATTTAAAGGATAACTCCCCTACTCATCTTTAAATTAGTGTCATGGATTGGTATGTCAACCTGGGAGATACATTAACGTATCGTTATAAAGACAGAGCTTTTAACATTACAGCACTCCCTCAGAGGTGAGATTTCTGTGGCAAGGAACTCACCTCCTGCCTCTGTAAACAAAGCCTGTCCAATATCTACAGGGCACAAGTCAGGAGTGTGATGGAATCGTCTCCACTTGCCTTGATGAATGCAACTCCAATAAATCTCAAGAAGCTTGACACCATAAAGGACAAAGCAACTCGCTTGATTGGCACCCCAAACACTACCGTAAACATTCAATCCCTCCATCTCTGATGCACAGTGACATTAGTGAGTGTGAAGTCACCCATGGAGCTGCCCTCAGCAGCAGCTTGTAAACCTAAACTCCTACCATTCAGATAGTATGATGAAGATGCCATAGTCCTGGAGAACCATACAGCTGGTCTTTCATGGATAGAGTCAACTGGTGGTGAGTTTAATCTGAGGATCACCATGCCTCAGGCGCGGCGCATGTTTGAGAAGGTGGGACTTTCATGGTAACCTCAGCCAGTACAGGAAATCAGCCCATGCTATTAGGGGCAGTCTACATCACAAATGAGCTCTCCAGCCAACTGAATTAACCAACCTCTCTAAAGGCAAGGCACATGGTCATATGGAAAAACCACCATCTACAAGTTTGCTCTAAGCTACACAACCTTGATTTGGAACTATACAACATTACTTCAAAGTCATTGGGTAAAATTCCTGGAACTTCCTCTGTAACAGCATTGTGGATGTACCCACAAAGACTGCAGCAGTTCAACAAGGTCGCTCACCATCACCTTCTCACAGGGCAGTTAAGAAAGAATAATAAATGTTGGCCTTGATCGTGATACCACATCCCTTTAACAAATAATATAAATAAGTATTACCTAAAATGTCAGTCTAGATTTAAGTGTACCAGTTTTAGGAGTTGGATTTCAACATACAACTTTCCGACTCGGGGTCAAGACTGTACCATTGCTGATTTTTTTAAACAGTCTGAATGTTGTTCATGTTAACAGAACTCCATTCTTCTGTCCAGTTTGTTGCTGCAGTTACAGAGCTTCCAGTGCAAACCCTGCCTTGCCTCCTGCTGAGCTCAAATTAAAAAAAAAATTGAACTCAATCTAAAACAACCCAACTCTACCCACCCACTCATCCACCCTCACTGTATCCAAGCCATCCCAACCAGTACGCCCCCACCCAACCCAACATACTTCATCCCAATTCTGAGGAAGGATCACCAGACCTGAAACATTTAATCTGATTTGTCTCCACAGGTGCTGCCAGACCTGCCAAGCTTTTCCAGCAATTTCTGTTTTTGTTTCAGATTTACAGCATCTGCAGTTCTTTTGGTTTTTATACTTCATCCCACCCAATCCACACTCTGCCTGCCCAACTGAACACAAGCCACTTAACCGAATCAAACCCACACAAGTCAGCATGGTAGCTCAGTGGTTAGCACTACTGCCTCACAGTGCCTGGGACCTGGGTTCAATTCCACCCTCGGGTGACTGTCTGTGTCGAGTTTGCACATTCTCCTTGTGTCTGCATGGGTTTCCGCCAGTGTTCTGGTTTCCTCCCACAGTCCAAAGATGTGCAGGTTAGGTGGATTGGCTATGCTAAATAGCCTGTAGTGTCCAGGAGTGTGTAAATTAGGTGGATTTGACAGGGGAAATGCAGGGTTACAGGTAAAGGGTAGGGGTTTGGGTCTGGGTAGGATGCTGTTTGAAGGGACAGTGTGGACTTGTTGGGCCAAATGGCCTGTTCCTACACTGCAGGCATTCTATGAAGTTCACACACCCACTGGACCTGACACCCCTATTCAGCCCAACACAGTTCTTGCCTTGACGTGTGTCACTTCACTCTACATTTCTACTTGGTATCAATCTACTGAATGCACACAACCCACCACATCAGACAAAATACCTCCAGCCAGCCCTACCAAACCCAACTCAACCTAGTGAATTGAATCAACTCAAGCTGACACCAACAGATACCCTGCCTCACCCTACATAACATCATTAGATCCCCTGCTCCATCCTATCCAACATAAGCCATTCTACAGATCATATTCCATGCACAGTCCATTAAACCAATACTTCCCCAATCAACCGAATATACCTCATTGTATACAATCCACTTCTGCAGACTCGACTCAACTGAGATAGTAGGAACTGCAGATGCTGGAGAATCTGAGATAACCAGGAGTAGAGCTGGATGAACACAGCAGGCCAAGCAGCATCAGAGGAGCAGGAATGCTGACGTTTTGGATCGAGACCCTTCTTCAGAAATGGGGGAGGGGAAGGGGATTCTGAAATAAATAGGGGGAGGGGGAGAAGGGGAGGTGGATAGAAGATGGATAAAGGAGAAGATAGGTGGAGAGGAGACAAACAGGTCAAAGAGACAGGGGTGGAGCCAGTAAAGGTGAGTGTAGGTGTGGAGTTGGGGGGGATAGCTCAGTCTAGGGAGGACGAAAAGGGCAAGGCGGTTGAGGGGGGGGGGGGGCGGGATGAGGCTGGTAGGTAGGAGATGGGGGTGGGGAGCTGGTTCATCCACTTCACCAACACCTTCCACCCCAACCTTAAGTTCACCTGGACCATCTCTGATACCTCTCTCTCCTTCCTGGACCTCTCTGTTTCCATCTCTGGCAACCACCTGGAAACCGATATGCATTTCAAGCCTACCGTCTCCCACAGCTACCTAGAATACACCTCCTCCCACCCACCTTCCTGCAAAAATGCCATCCCCTATTCCCAATTCCTTCGCCTCCGCCGCATCTGCTCCCGGGATGAGGCATTCCACTCCCGGACATCCCAGATGTCCTCGTTTTTCAAGGACCGCAACTTCCCCCCAACAGTGGTCGAAAACGCCCTTGACGGCATCTCCCGCAACTCATCCCTCACACCCTCTCCCAACAATAACAACCAAAACAGGATCCCTCTTGTCCTCACGTACCACCCCACCAACCTCCAAATCCAACGCATTATCCTCTAGCACTTCTGCCATCTGCAATCTGACCCCACTACCAAAGACATTTTTCCCTCCCCACCCTTATCCGCTTTCTGGAGGGACCACTCTCTCCATGACTCCTTTGTCCGCTCCACACTCCCCACCAGCCCCACTACCCCCGGCACTTTTCCCTGCAGCCGCAGCAAGTGCTACACCTGCCCCTACACCTCCCCCCTCACCCCCATCCCAGGCCCCAAGAAGACCTTCCACATCAAACAGATGTTCACCTGCACATCGGCTAATGTGGTATACTATATCCGCTGTTCCTGATGTGGCCTCCTCTACATTGGGGAAACCAAACGGAGGCTTGGGGACCGCTTTGTGGAACACCTACGCTCGGTTCGCAACAAACAACAGCACCTCCCAGTCGCAAACCATTTCTACTCCCCCTCCCACTTCCACTCCTCAGACGACATGTCCATCCTGGGCCTCCTGCAGTGCCACAACGATGCCACCCGAAAGTTGCAGGAACAGCACCTCATATTTCACTTGGGAACCCTGCAGCCCAAGGGTATCAATGTGGACTTCACAAGCTTCAAAATCTCCCCTCCCCCAACCACATCCCAAAACCAGCCAAGCTCACCCCCACATCCCTAACCTGTCCCCCCACCTCAAGCCCCACCCGAATCTCCTACCTACTAGCCTCATCCCGCCTCCTTGACCTGTCCGTCCTCCCTGGACTGACCTATCCTCTCCCTAACTCCCCACCTACACTCACCTTTACTGGCTCCACCCCTGCCTCTTTGACCTGTCTGTCTCCTCTCCACCTATCTTCTCCTCTATCCATCTTCTATCCGCCTCCCCCTCTCTCCTTATTTATTTCAGAATCCCCTTCCCCTCACTCATTTCTGAAGGGTCCAGACCCGAAACGTCAGCTTTCCTGCTCCTCTGATGCTGCTTGGCCTACTGTGTTCATCCAAATCTACACCTTGTTATCTCGACTCAACTGAATTGTGCACCACATACGTCAAACACACAGCTCTTACTCAACTTCACCCAAACCAATTTACATTATCCTACTGAACCTAAAATCATCCTACTCACCAAAACCTAAACCCATTAAACTGATCCTCCCAAGCCAATCTACATAACGCTCCTAAACACACCCTTATCTCCTCCTCCCATTCAATGTAAATCTGGAACCAAAGGCACTCACCTCTCGCGAGAATTAGCGGTTTCCTACGACTTCGAAATCATCTCGCGTTGTTTGATGATGGTGTGAGATGGTGACTCACCTCCAGAGGGACAGAGACGGAGACTGGGATTGAGGTAGGCAGACAGTGTCC